GGATTTTTGACGTGTTAGCTCTGTTCTTCGAAGGGCCTTACCGCCGGAGATGGGAATCCGTGAGGTAAGGTGAGGCGTGACATTTTATGGTCGCCCTTTCCTAACCCCTTCCTTGTGAGAAGGCAGCATCGCTGTTATACTGGTTGTCTGAAGGAAACACCTTACTGCCGTAACACCTCTGTACAATCAGCAGTACGATTTCACCCTCAGACCTTCAGTTACTGCTTTTAGTCTTACCGTTCTCCAATCGAAATGCCTGGCATGGTAGAACCTACAGGAACATACGTTTCAGCCAATATAGCTCGGTTGGGTCATCACGAAAGGCAAGCCCGACCACCACGTCAAGGCAGCGGCTACGGTCGGGTCTGGATACTTGAAATTGAGCAATATTTTAAGTGACGATTTTACTCAGGTACCTTGTAATTTCTTACTTTCAGTCGTCAGAATGTTATGATAACGGGCTGGATAGGAATGATCATAATTGGTTAACTTTCTAGCATCAATGATGGTCTCGAGCAATATAGCATTCTTCGTAGTTTCCAAGGTGTTGGTAAACTTCTCAGCACCATTCTTTACAAACGAATCCATGGAGAAGTTTATTCCAGCAAAACACAGATCTGCTTGCTAGATATTTTTTCAGACCATTGTCCGGATATTATAAAAACGGTCTGTATTTTGAACGTATCTGGTGACAGATGTATACACATTTGCACGTAATACCTAGATATTTCTATAGTTACTACAATAGTGTAGTTTCAGAATGATGAAGTGCTAAGTTTACCTAATCCCCTAGATATTTACACTGAGTTTTATCAACACATTCCTTCAGTATTTGGCAAGCGCTGTGTCAGGTCTGTTAACTTGGGTGTTTTCTGAAATTTAGTACTTGAATTTACTTTTAAATCATTACGTCGTTAGTTGCGTCAATTATTGTCAAGTTATAACGGAAGGAAATTGAAGCCAATGTTACTAATACAACAAGTCAATAGATTTGTTATTCTAAGTATTTTTTCAGCGTTCTAGATAACTGTGGATATTGTAGGTCGAGGTTTACATGCTATTCGGTTTTTATTGATATTAGGCCTCTTGAGGTTCATTTATTGCAATAGGGGGAGTAGTTTACGCCGATTCTGTGGATGGTATTACTTTATGTATTGATAATGTATCGCGATATTCTTTAAAAGATTTGGAGTATCGCTTTCACATTAAATTAAATGTAGAATAATCCTAGCAAGATTTGTTAATCTACTTGTGAACCAATTCTTTCCTTTAGATTCTGATATTGTTTATTTCATGAGTTTAAGTTGTAGTAGCGCAGATGTATTTTACTGAACCTGACTTTAAAACACCGGCAACTGTACATTATCAGTTCGCTTATGTTCACCAGGAATGTTTAAGAAGATTTCACATTCTTCTTTCAACTGTTAGTTCTCTTTATGGGTTTTTGGATTTGGTTTACTGTTCCACTAAACTTTTTGCTTCATATTCGCAGTTTTTTCTAATCATATAATCCATTGTGGTTTTTATTTTACCGTTAAACCGAAGTGTTGTCCGTAAACAAGAAGTTTGTACATCAGCGAAGAAAGAAACCATAGGATCCATTTCACTAGTAACCATGGCAATAAAGTTCGTAATGTCAGCGTCTGATAAGGAAACGGGGATACTTATAGAAAATCTCTACCTGATTGGATTAGATGGTTTCAGTTTTAAAACATAGTGAATATAGGATGTCTGATATACTCAGAAAGAGCAGCTTATATTAAGTTGCGAAGCGCCGGAAATTTAAATTTCCTACACATTGGAACTCTACAAATATATCATTAAATTTGTGATTGTGTCAAATCCTTTTTTTTGTAGTAAATAAATTCGAAACATCAGATATTGTTCAGTGATTAAACGCTATTAGCAAAAATCTAATTCACACCATTTATTATTCCACAGATTCGAGATTCAAGCTTACCTAGCTTTTTTACGTAGTGTCGAGGATTGCTATTAATTTATTACTACATTGTGTTGTCTTATGTGTCCTAGAGTATGCGTATTGGATTCAAACATCAACGTCATGCTCTAACCCTAGAAATCGAATAAACTGAGTGTTTAAGAAATTATTTGAAAGTTGACTACCCCAGGTTTTTGAAGGTATTCATTTATACTAGCATATTTAACAAAATTATTAAGGTTTTTTTAACCAGGAAGAAATCTTCGTTAATTCAATAAATTAAAATACCCAAATCTACTTAGGTCAACTTAAAACCTGAGATTATGCAAATATCATATTTCACCAAATTTTCGTATAGGGGTACATCAACAGTTAAGTAATTAAGATTCACAGCAAAATAATCTAATCGGTCAACCGAAAACACAACTATCTACATTCAATGTTTGCTGACCTGACATTTTTTTGAATGACATAAATCTCTACTTGACTAATCAAAACTAAGTTATAACAGTATCTTTTACAATTAATGGACAAATTTACTGGTTATTTGGTCAGATGATCATGCTTTATAATTTGTGACTATAAATACTTTTAATACTTATAAGATTATGTAGAATTTTGAAAAATGTCACCACAAGAATAGATATTTAGATTAGCATTATTATGGTAGGCATCTTTAACCAGTGAAATTATGGAACATTAACTGAAAAGGTGTTCCGCACACATTTGCAGAAGTTTATGGCCAAAGAGATTCTTGTTGAAGTAGGAATTAACACATTAGAAAAAAATTAGATATTTTATTTAAATAAAGTGTTTTTTAAGGTAGTTGAAAGAGTATAACTAATCAAGTGGACTGGCGACCAACGAATTCACTAAAATTTAACACAAAATGAAATATACCTATGTACCGGACAAATTTACATCAGAATCCTTACACCACAGTCGTATGATTGATGGTAGAAATTTCTGGAGCTGAATGTAAGATGGTGCCAATCTATTCTTCTGAACATTCTTTCACATTTAGAGTCTCTATGATCAAGATTATTGCACATATTTAAATCGTATATTACGGCTAATTATGATGTAGCATTGTCCATGAACACGAAGTTGAGAATATTTAGTAAATAAGTCCACTATCTTATTTGACTTATTTTATTCCGTTATTCTCTAACGTGAATTAATTCGATAATTATATACCAGGGTAGTCGGCATGTATATCTCGATAACAATCAGCATACAATTTACTGCAGTCAGATATAAATCCACTGAAAGTCTAGTTCAGAGTCAGGCAGTTGATGAGTCTATGAGTGATTATTTTAAATGAGAATGTTCAATTCATGATTTCAAGTTATGAACCGTCGGGTTACTGTCAATTATTCTTCAGTAAATTCAGCATATATTAATCCCGTCAGTCTAACTGATGCAATTACATTCCCTGTTCTCCCACATTACTAGCATATACGATATAAAGACTGTATATACAAAACGTTGTTAGAATTATATGATTCTCTCATATTAAAAAGAAAACGTTATTTTACCAACCTCTTTAACAGTCTACTTTGTTGCAAACAGAGTTGTGCTATGCAACCTAGAATTATTTTCTTTTGGATGGCTCGCGAAAACCTATTTCGATAAAATGCTAAAGAAAAAAAAATTCAACATAACACAATACCATTTATCACTTCTTGGTGTCCCTTGAGCATTAAACACGTTTGCATATAATAATATTGCTTCAAGAGAGAAAAGGAAAGACGACTGTTACGTAGAGCGAAGAGATTTCCAATCGATTGGTTGCTTTTCTGATCTAATTAGTTCATGGATTAGTTGGTTCAATGGTCATCCACTTGGTATTTAATGTTGTTGTTTGATAAATTTCTGACAATTTGGCTAATGATCAATTTATTTGAAATTATCAAGTCGAACGTTGGCAACGATACCTGTAAATCCTAACATTATATTTTAAATAAGCTGTAAGATATTGGATTAATGTAGCCACAATAAGAAACCAATTACCAGTCAGGTTACACTATGAAATAGACCAGTTTTCAATAAGCATACAATACGCAAGCTAAGTCAGAACAAAAATTAATGTATGTGGTATGGTTTATTGGAGAAATTACCCGTCAGATATCTGAAATATTGTAGGGTCTTCTCAGGATGTCTACATGAATTATAATATGTCTGCTAATTGGACGTTAGATCCGGTTCCAAAGCTGCTTCTAATAACCACAGCCTAATCTACACAAAAGAAAAGTTCGAAACCTAAAAGTCAGAGATAAGAATTTGCTGGACTCCCAAACTAAATCAAAAAAAGATTTATGAATACACCACTTTTTACATGATTAATCTACAGTTAGGTTAAGTCGGATTTGTATAAAGTGAATTAGGCTATATTTAACAATTCATATGTCATTCTCACTCCAACTGATTGAAATACTACGTGCCACATCAATTTAGAAACAGAACCTATCCAAAGGTAACGCAAATTTCAATGAAACTTTCATCTAGGTAGTGGTCTCCTTGAATATTAGAATGAAGATATTGATTATAACCCTCGTTGGTGATGCGTTAATATCTTTATGGATATCCTTTACTTGAATCTTTAGAAAAAATACTTGAGTGATCTAAATTTTGACCTTATTTGCGCTTATAAGAAATGGTGTGTTTGTTTACGTAGACAAACTCTTATACATCTTTCAGCGGAGCTGTATTAGTTATGGATTATCTAGTGAGGAAACAAACAAATGACATAGTATATCTTATTTAATTCATTTCTACAGAACAATGTGTCTCCATAGTTACAGTGCTGGTACTTAATCCTCGATTAAACTAGCTCTAAATCGACGTGGAATGTAAATAAATTTACAGTAATAAACAAACTTAATTTCCTTCACACTGTCTGTGTATTCATATTAGTTTGATTATTCAAATAACTATATCTACCTCGTAGCCTTCGTTTGACCTGTTTTGTTCACTCAGTAGTCCTGCCAAATGTGTAACACCCCCTACATAAAGACAAATTAGACTGCTGCATAATATACGAGGGCTTTCATAAGCAGATATGATATAGTCAAGGCTGCCTATACAATAACATTGATAAAAACTACAAAAGCGAGCCAACCAATAAGCCATTCATAGACCCTCACCACGTATTGGATAATTTTTCACAAGGACTTCAAAGGATATCAAATAAGATGTACTTTGTACATTGGTTAGGTAATGCTCTTGAAAATGAACCATAGTGTAATGAGAAAACAACACGATGCTGGACATGCGAAAACATTTCTCTACATTGTCTGCTTCGCGATTGATTAAGAAACAGAAGTTTTAACAACCAAGGGATATAAGTTTTGAACAACGTCTATCATGAAACAAATAAGTTTTTGTAATTCTAAAAGCTGTTGGCGATTGAATGTGACACGGATGAACAAGTTTTGAAGAACAGCTAATTTAAGCACAAGAATATGAACGTTAGACTTAAGAATCATAGTAGAGGATATCTTCAAGTTACTTTAATTTTTACTTGTAGAACACACTTTAACATAAGTGTTTCATATTTTTTGTGAATCCCATTAGGTGAACTATCATCCAGTAGGTTTTCATAAGCCATTCTGTTGTACTACGTTTATTAATTGCCGTTAAGGGTACATAAATCATCGAAAATCCTAAGCTTGAATCAGACCTTTCGAAATGCGTGTTATTTACTGAAGATCTACTGGGCGACAATACACATACCAATATGTCAAGTGAAAAGAAATTAAATACGGATTTTGCTCAACAGCAGGCGTCAAAACTTTAATAACGGTAGGTTTATGATGGGTGGACAGTTGCGTTCTCGCAATGAAATTAAACAATGAATAAAAAAATGTGATTGAGAAAGTCAGGTATCGTGGCTAACAAATTGTCACAATAGTAAAAATAATTTGTTGATAGGATCGCAAAAACTTCATTGTTACAGATCTTTCCAGCCTTCCAGTAAATTTAGAAAATTGCATCTCTATTCGTACAAAATTTCAAGGGAAGACTTTCAGAAAATTGCAGACTTTATTTGTACAGAAAATATTTTATCATCTTTTTTTATTTAAAAAATCCTTATTCTTAAACATGTCAAAAAAAAATATCCAACACATACTGGTTTATGCTTGGATGCAATCATATGAACAAAATGTACAAATCATCAAGGATAAGTGAACATTATTATACATGTAAAGTCACTGTACATTGTTACTTATAAAAATTGATCAAGAAGTTTTGGCTAGTTTCTCAGAAAAGTCTTCTAAAATTCCGTTCACATGTTCATTGTCTTTAATATGAACTGAACGATTCATGGTGCGTTTTTGTCCTGGTTTCTTTCTTTGTACAGGTATCTTTAAAATACACAACAAAAACCGATTCTGTTCAAATATCGATATTGTGAAATTTAAAAGAAATAAAATTAGGATTATATGTTCATTGAAACTGGTTACTGTTATCACAGATGATTTACTACAATTAATTATTAATATGTAGCAAGTACCAATGATAACTGTTTGAAGCTAGAAAGTTGAATACTATGAGGAAGTCTGGAGAAATACCTTTATGACCTATCGACTAAAATGTCATTCGCCAAAATACAGATTAGAAAGAAACTAATATAGATTATGTCTCATGGACTGGTCTGGTAATAAAGAAAACCTAATCAAATATTTGGTTAATTAGATTCATACAGTAGTTCTAGTTTATTTCTTAGAGGTATTCAAATTTTTCATGGATATATAAAGTTCACATTCTTGCATAAAAGGGGAAACAGGATAGAAAAATATGATGGAATTAGTAACAGTAACCCACCCTAAAAATTAATTAAAAATAGTAAACCTACAAAATTTAATTATAAATATAATAATGAATAGTCGTCCATTACGAGCGGTAGTAAGATACAATAACAACAATATAAAAATCTGATCAAGTTATTGTGTAGTGCAATGAAAGATCATATTGTTTCCATTGTAACTAACTGTTGTGAACATAGAAAGGAAATAAAGTCTAAAAACAAAATTATCCTCCGCAAAAAAATCACCCAGGGTAGTTTTGGTGGGTGGACTACAGTATAACAACAAGGATGACGCAAAATAGAAATCTGTATTGCTGTTGGATTAAAATTAGTCAATATGATATGGGAGGAACTTCAACAGAAAAGTACGCACTAAGATTAACCATAAGAATCACAATCGGTATAACAGTCTGGTATTAAGAAAAGAAGGATCGGGAAATTACTTAGTAACCAGAATATACATGTAGGTAGGATACTGAATAAACCGATATTAACTTACAAAATTTTTACGATCACCAGACATTGAAGAGATTCCATTACGCTTTAAATACTCTTCAATTTTTGTTTCATGAACACCCTCCACACTCACCGACCGCCATTGTTGCTTAAATTCTACAGGTATACAAAGAAATCGTTGTAGTATTGATAGTCGATAATTCACAGAAATTAACTATAGAGTACACGAAACAAAAGTGTATTTTAAAATCTCAACTTAATCAGTAGTGTGCTTATGTGACTTGAAACACGATTTTTAAACATCTAGTTATTGTAAGTTGAATCAATTTCTAAAACTAAGTACATGTTACAAACTACATTTTTGACAGAAAATGATAATAGTTTTCATTACTTCTTTGCAAACATTAACTATGTTTATCAATAATTTTGGTATCTATCTGGTTATTTTAAAGAGAATTTGTATTGAAATTACTTGTTGATGAGAAACGAGTATGAAACACTTAAAATGTACATAAAGAAGAGGAAAACGATATGATAAACTGATGTGAACAACTATACGTTAGCAAGCAATTAGAAGAGGATTAGTTTCATACAGTACTGGCAGTCACGAGAAAATGATGAGGGTAGAAGTTTAAAGTACTGAAATATTTCAGAAAGAACTTGTGAGTTATATAGTAAATGATGGCAAACTTATTTCTTTCTACTACCATATATTTCGGTTTTCTGAATTCAGAATCACAAGAATTGATATTTGTAAGTGACACGAAATTCAAAAGATACTGATAATCTGTTTGAGATATTTGGGATAACAGTCATTCAGTCACAGCCTAGAACCTGGTACGTATGTACATCGGTTCAATTTGCCATGCCCTATTAGCACAGAGACGAAGTTGTTAGGTCAAATACCAAAATGGTAGAGGTAAAAACAGTATCAATAGTAATAGGAAACATTAGGTATCGAAGATACAATTCCAGAAAATATAAATTCGTGATATAAAAAGTAGTTATTAGGAATTTAGAATTGAAGAATTTGAGGGAAGACAAAGAATGGATGCACCTGTGTCATTGCAAACGATTTTGAGCCATTTAATTTTATGTCTCTAACCATTAGTTACGATAATTACACGGACTCCGGTCAAGTAGTCTGCACATATTAAAATGGCTAAATGCAACTGTCAGTGAACTGACGCCATATTTCGGTCTGGCCGCCCCTAGTTTTTTTCCAAGCGTACTCCTAGACAACAAAACATCGCCCATTGAAGTAAGCGGTGACTGATCATACGCAACACATTTTCTAGCCACCTCAGTCGATGAAGACCTACTACATCATCAATCGATTTGCCATCCTGACCTAGTGCCATATTCCTAACCTTACATAAAATAAAAGATGATCTAGTAAGTGAAGTAGCCTAATTAGTCATTTTTTGCAAAGTTTCCAATATATTTGGGTTATTTATTAACCTTTCAGAGGAAAAAATAAATCTACTGCTTTTTTGAACACTGTGAACAACTAATTATGTGTTAGATTTTGAACGTTTAAGCATGTCTACTAAAGAACGCTGAACTAACAAGTCAACCATATTTGGAACACTTAAAAACATTGAGCTTTTTTCAGGAAATTTCGATTGATTTCATTCGGTAGAATAATCAGACACATTTATTGTAACTGATACACTATGATTTACCAATGAACCTGATCATCCGCATATCGAAGTGCGGAAGTCACTTTCTCTACTCTTTGAATGTTATGTATCATATTCAATTTATGCTTAAATTAAATGAACTGTCGGTTTTCTATGGAACAACACAGAGTGCTGATCATTACCACTTTGAAAGAAATAAAAACTAAAGGTGATAAATATTAGCACTATAATAAACAGATTAACTCCGATGGATAGGAATCTCATGGATCCAGAATTATCAAAGCATCATTCAAAACAAAGAACAAGGGAATCACAATGAATGTTATCCAACGTTATGCACCCACCAATGATAACAACGACGACGATAAAGGTCAGTTCTACTCGAAGCTGCAAACAATCATAGCGAAGGGCTCAAGGAACGACCTCACAATCCTGATGGGAGATCTAAATGCTTAAGTCGGAGTGGACGACACATGATATGAAGATATAATTGGACGACATGGACTAGGAGAGAGAAATGAAAATGGGGAGAGATTTGCAAATCTATGTGCATTCAACAAATTGGTTATAGGCGGCACAATATCTCCACACAAACGCATACACAAAGCCACATGAATCTTGCCGGACCACACCACAGATAGATCAACAAAAATTTCCGAAGGATGATGGAAGATATGAGAACCAGGAGAGGAGTTGACATAACCTCAGATCACCCCCTGGTTGTGGCTAATATGAGAGTGAAGCTAAAGAAACACTGGACAACTGGACGAACAGCATTACAAAGGTTCAATACAGCCTTCCTTCGAGATACTAACAGACACAACGAATTCAAGATAAACTTCAACAACAGGTTGCAAGCTTTACAGGATCTACTGAACGAACAATAAACTACGATGGAGAACAACTGGAAAGGGATAAAAGAAGCACCAACTTCAACGTGTCAGAAGGTTCTGGGTTCTAAGAAGCATCATCATAAGGAATGGATCTCTATGGGAACCCTGGACAAGATTCAAGAAAGGAGGAGCAAGATAGCAATTAGCAACAGTCGAATACGAGCAGAGAAAGTCAAGGCACAAGTAGACTACGCAGAGGCAAACAAGGAAGTGAAGAAAAGCACTAAAGCCGACAAGCAGAAATACATGGGAGTATTATTTATTTAAGCACATAAATATTGGTACAAAGGGGAACCAGATACATATGCGTCACATAGATCTCATTTGATTTGTGTGGGGGCTGGGATACTACCCAGGTGCCCAAACTGAAGCAGGTGGTTTTCTTAGGGGCCACACCCCGAGCCTTTGACCCACAGGTCTAATCCGCAAGGCAATGGAGCATCTAAAGGAGATGCAGTCCCATGATAGGCGGTGGCCAACGATTGATTCATACACCACTTGTTCCCTTGGGATACTGGAACCCATGTGCACCATTGGCTTCGAATCAGGGTTTTCCAACTCTCCTAGGTGGACTCGCCGTCTCCACCAACCCGTTTAAAGCGCTGGACATTCGCTTTTCGTCCTCTTAGTTTTGAAAACACACCCGCCATGAGAAGGCAGTGAGTAAGACTTCCATGGCAGAGGCTGTATACGTGTAGCCATGCGAGAGCATTTTGAGAGGGAGAGCAGACTCTCCTCACTCTCGGTCGTACCAAGGCATTGGGGGGCCATATATGGGAAAACATGCAACGACGGAGGAAAAAGCTGCAAGAGAAGGGAGTATGAAACAACCATTTGATACAACGAAGAAACTGGCAGGGAGATATAGCAAACCGGAAAAACCAGTCAAGGACGAAGAAGGAAAGACAATCACTGAGATTCAAGAACAAAGGAAAAGATGGGAAAAATACTTCGAGGAACTACTGAATAGACCAGCTCCATTGGATCCACCGTACGTCGAAGTAGCACACACTGACCTTCCTATATCTGTCACTCTAGCGGCGACCGAAGAATTCGGGTTGGCCATCCGACAAATCAAAAGTGAGAAGGCGGCAAGACCTGACAATAAACCAGCTGAAGCACAGAAGTCAGACATTGAAGTAACTGTAAACATGCTGTATCTTCTATTCAAGAAGATTTGGGAAGAGGAACAAGTGCCAACGGACTAGAAAGAAGGATACCTCATCAAGATATCGAAGAAAGGAGATCTGAGAAAATGTGAGAATTACAGAGGCATCAGATTGTTGTCAGTACCAGGAAAAGTTTTCAACATAGTGTTGCTGGGCAGGATGAATGACTCAGTAGACTACCAGCTTCGAGACATGCAGACTGGGTTACGTAAGGATCGGTCGTGCACAGACCGAATTGCGACACTAAGGATGATCATTGTTGAGCAATCAATTGAATGGAACTCGTCACTATACTTCAACTACACTGACTGTGAAAAGGCATTTGACATCGTGGACAGGAGAATATTATGGAAACTTCTTCGCACTATGGAGTTCCTGAGAAGATTTTCAACATTATCCAGAACTTATACGACGGACTACAGTGATGAGTCGTGCATGGAGGACGGCTGATAGATGCATTTCCAGTAAGGACCGGAGTCAGACAAGGCTGTCTACTCTCCCCATTCCTCTTCCTTCTAGTGATTGAATGGATTATGAAGAATTCGACATCTGAAGGGAAATACGGAATACAATGGACTTCTCAGAATCAATTAGATGATTTGGACTTCGCAGATGACGTAGCCCTCCTCTCTCATACACACGAACAAATGCGGATGAAGACAGCAAATGTAACAGCAGCCTCCGCATCGATAGGCCTCCACATTCACAAAGGTAAAAGCAAGATTTTCAAATACAACACAGAGAACACCAACGCAATCGCACTTGATGGCGAAACTCTGGAAGATGTGGAGACATTCAAGTACCTGGGGAGCATCGTTGATAAACAAGGACGATCGGATGCAGATGTAAAGGCGAGGATTGGCAAAGCAAGGGCCACATTCCTACAATTGAAGAACATATGGAACTCAAAACAACTGTCAACTAACTTCAAAGTGAGAATCTTCAATGCGAACGTCAAGACAGTCCTACTGTTCGGAGATGAAACGTGGAGAACTACTGCAACCATCGTCAAGAAGATACAAGTATTTATAAACAGTTGTCTACGCAAAATACTCAACATTTACTGGCCGGATACTATCAGCAACAGCATTTTATGGGAGAGGACAAACCAGCTTCCAGCTGAAGAGGAAATTAGGAAAAGACGTTGGAAGTGGATAGGACATCCATTGAGGAAATCACCAAACTGAATCACGAGGGAAGCGGAAAAGAGGAAGGCCAGAGAACACATTACGTCGGGAAATAGAAGCAGATATGAAAAGGATGACTGTTAACTGGAAAGAACTGGGAAGGATTGCCCAGGACAGGGTTGGATAGAGAATGCTGGTGTGCGGCCTATGCTCCTTCACGAGGGGTAACAGGAGTAAATAAGTAAGTAACAAACATTGAATAATACAGGTTTTGGTTTAAAGATAAGACTTTAGTTTATTGTTAGTGACCTTGATGGTATACAATAATATAAATATCAAATTTTATACGTTTCGGGGTGTAATGAAATAAACTTAAAATGTGAGGTATTGTAGTTCAGTAAGATGATTGTTTTGTTTTCATTCTTATTGCATGTACAATTTAATAATTTGTCTCTTTATTAATTGCTAAATTATTCCTTTATGCAACATAGTAGCATTGACTAAGTGTTATTTATAGAGGTAAAATCCATGAAAATTACTCCTGAACATAATTTTTCTCAAAAAGTATTTAAAATCCTTTCAATCAATGTCTCTATGATACACCCATGATCTTTAAGCTCCTCTCTTTGTTGTTTTATAAAGTTTATATTTTATTTTTGTAGCATTAATTGATTCTTTCTTTCTGGTTTTATCTTACTGACAAACAGAATTTTTATCTTGATTTGTGTTAATTCAAGTTAATCACTAACTGGTCAATTTTCCAATACTTGTGCTCCCTAATTAATCGATGACAGATAAGAGAACTAATGTTCTTGTTCCATCAAAAAATTGCGGAAAAACAGAATAAGTGTTAAGTCGGTTTCCAGAGAACTCCAACAGAGCCTCCAGAGGCTCAAAAAGAGACCCAACCAATCAGAGTACGACAGAACATTCTGGAGTTCCAACGTGGCATGCTACCATTGGTCAGTAGCAATATATGTCGTTAAGTGGATTGGCTGAATTAGGATGTTGATTTAACTTAAGCAAACATCTATAAATACCTACGATTTTCTGTACAGGATGAACCTTGCAGTAAAGCGTTTTCTCTGTTACTCGTGTCTTCTCTCTGGTCTTCAAGTCGCTGAGTAGTGCTAGCCCTGGGGTTATCCGAATAGCTTAGGATCTGAATAAAGCGTTTAACCTAAAAGACGTATCGTTAAGATTAACTGTCTATTCAATTATCACTCTAAGTAGCTTACAACCACGTTTTTGACCCAACTTAAGACTCGAGACAAAGACTTGATGCACAAATGAATACGAATAAACTTATGTCAGTGTACACCTGATAATCAAGAATTATCCCAGAAATGTGTCTGCGTAGAATTAGATGAATTACTACAACTGATTCAGGTTGCAAAACAACCAATTACAACAGAATGGATGTAAAGCAAAATGATTCAGAATATAAAAAATATAAGCAGGTTTAAAGTAGAAGTTTAATTACTTCTATGAATCCGGTGTTCGTCTTGTTGTACTAACGAGGTATGGCAACTTGGACCGATGCATATATGTGCCTGGTCCTACGTTGTAGCTGACTGACTGACTGACTGACTGAGAAGTTTAATTCAGTGATACATATCAGCGAAATATTCATTGACAGTACTAATTCAATATGTTACAAATAAGTAGTTCACTATCTCTAACTATAGAATTGTGAAAAGACCGGGAAATAAGGCTACAATTATTCGATTATCACTATCTTACCACAAAGTAAGCTAACCTCGATGTAGGACCCCTAGTTTTCATGGGATAGAAATAAATTGGCTGAAAATTCCCTTCAAGTGAATTTAAAAAATACCAAGAGTTGGTTGGATGATACTATTTACAGAAAATACTGAAAATAAATATCACTGAATTAAAGTTCTACTTTGCATTTTTTCTTCTATTCTGGATCCTTTTACTTAACACCCATTCCATCCGTTGTTTTAATTGGTTGTTTTGAAACCTGAATCAATTGTAGTAATTCCTCAAGTTAATATTTAGCATACACTACACAGCCGTAAAGAAGTTTTATTAAATCCTTAGAAGACAATACAAAATAACAATTTTAAAAACTAGAATATGTAGAGAAAACACTATTTTGGTTTTTACATGCGTTATGCACTGGAAACAGCGATAAGAAGTGAATTAAGTGATTAGGAACTAGATATAGATGAAAATGGAAGTTGTGGTAGCACATAAGCTGTCCATTTACACCTACCTTCATCCACATTCAAATCGAATGATTTGTCGTTGTAAAACAAGACAGTTTTCTTATCGTGCGGTGTGACAATACGAATCACATGGTCACCAAAACTCTGATCAAGTAAAAAAATCAAAGAAATATGGGCCCAAAATGTGCAAACTATTGAAAAAGATCATAAAATAAAAAAGTTAAATGAAGTAATATTTAACTACGGATTGATTTAAAAGTGAGTGTGTTAACTATATCTGAAACTATAAGTGTTACTTCGTGTGTATATGAGCTAGGACTAACAATAATAACTAGATGCACGGACTGCAATAGAATAATTTAATCCCATATCCCTAATACCAGATCAGAAGGTTGGACTGACAAAGGATAATCGCTTATTATATGACATAACACTGTATTACTAACACACTTTTAACACTAAACTACTGATGATTCTGAGTACACCAAAAATATTTCAATGTGAGTAGTCTTTTTTTGATGAAAATGAACATTAAGAATACTGAAAAAGTAAACATGAATTGACTAAAAAGTAAAGCTTAATGAATTATCTGGTAGTCTATCTCGTCAGTTTTTTTAATTTCATTAAACGTTACCATCTCCTTTTAATGGATCACATGGTGAAACTGAGGTTTAGTCGCTTGGTTTTCAAAACAAAGGTTAGAGTTTCCTGTTTCAATTCAATTATTTAAGTTTAATTAACAAGACACTAATAGTAGTCCTCAGGCACTAGATAGAGATCAGTCCAATACTAGCTCCAGATATAATTAGACTACATCTGACAGTTTTATATTTATATAGCCATTTTGAAGCAGGCTGAGTTGTGACAATGGGTTTTAACAGTTAGCTAAATAGACATGTGACATTCAACATTACGAAATTTATGAGATGAAAGAAATATCTTAGACATACAAAATAATTTACAACAATAAACAAGAATTTTAACATTAAGAGGAAGCACGGTTTAAATTAGTTTTCGAGATTTACATATTAACGGATAACTCTTTTGTTTACTAACACTCAAAAACTTATTGCTGACAACACAACTATAAATCAGTGACCATAATCATAATGTCATTGCAGCAAAACTCTAGAAGAGCTCAGTGAATAAGGAATTTTCATGAGACGGGAATGTAGATGTGCAGACTGGGAACACAAAATAGTTAGATTAAGTTCATGATTAAATCACGCTATCAGTAAAGAAGCTGTGGAATTTGAGCCTTAATGGTGCTAATATTCTAGTCTGCAATGATGTATTTGTAGATTAAAGTGGACATATCTATTCAGTTATCTTCACAATTTTAAATTTCCTGTCCATATAGGTTTCTGACAATCTACAGATAGTGAGTGTGAAAATAAATTCATCTCAAAATCCAATCTACACAAATTGAATAGCAAATCCAAACTATCATATATAGTAAAACGTATCCAATTAATTTCACTTAAATTTTCGTTGTTCATCTGAGGTTTTTATTGAGGACGAATAGTCACCTGAAGGTAGGGAGGTCAATAACCTACCAACTAAATGCCTTTCATCAAGAACCAATGTTACAACCACGGAACAAACACAGGTGTGCTGAGTATCGGTAAGTAAATTTCCTGTCAACGCAACAGGTGGGATAAATTAAAAAATAAAAACCGTATTTTATGTGTGGGGCTGAGAGTTGAACTGGATGTATGGCCCCCAAATGCCTTGGTACGACCGAGAGTGAGGAGAGTCTGCTCTCCCTCTCAAAATGCTCTCGCATGGCTACACGTATACAGCCTCTGCCATGGAAGTCTTACTCACTGCCTTCTCATGGCGGGGGTGTTTTCAAAACTAAGAGGACGAAAAGCGAATGTCCGGCGCTTTAAACGGGTTGGTGGAGACGGCGAGTCCACCTAGGAGAGTTGGAAAACCCTGATTCCAAGCCAATGGTGCACATGGGTTCCAGTATCCCAAGGGAACAAGTGGTGTATGAATCAATCGTTGGCCACCGCCTATCATGGGACTGCATCTCCTTTAGATGCTCCATTGCCTTGCGGATTAGACCTGTGGGTCAAAGGCTCGGGGTGTGGCCCCTAAGAAAACCACCTGCTTCAGTTTGGGCACCTGGGTAGTATCCCAGCCCCCACACAAATCAAATGAGATCTATGTGACGCATATGTATCTGGTTCCCCTTTGTACCAATAGTTATGTGCGTATGCCCAACCACCGAATTCCCCGACGTGCAATGTTTTATGGTGTAGGCGTAGGTTGGAAGAAAGCTAGAGGCGACCAGACCAAAACGTGCCAAAAATCGATCAAGTCACTGACAATTGGACTGAGCCATGTTGGTAGGTGTAGATTACCTGGTTGGGATTCGCGAGATGCTAGCAATCAATGGTTTGAGACTTTGAATGACATGACTCAAAATCGTTAGCAATGGCGAGGGTGAATCCACTCTTTGTGTTCTCCCAAACTCTGGTCTTCTGATTTCTTCATGTCTCTATCTTTTTTCTCTTTCCAAATTTATTTCACTGGATTATACTCCTTGAATAACATCTACAAACCCTAATCTTTCCGATTACTGCTTATACTCTTACTACTTCTACCACTATGGGATTTGAATCGACAACTGCATCTCTGTGCTAATGTGGTATGGCAACTCGAACAGATGTACGTACGTACGAATGTTCAGAAATAGATGGAACAGATCCGAAATTTTCAAAAAAATACACAGAAGAGTATGCATCGACAACCATATAAATCAGATGTATATCATTTACTAAAATACAGTTTGGATTAAAAGTGATTTGCTTACATTGAGAATTTTTTCAACATCAGGAACAGATTCAGTCAAGTCATCTAGATAAATCCCTCCCAAACCTTTCAACTCCTGACGACGGAGAAGTTGGTAAAGATCCTTGCGGGTACGAATATCATATCTCGGTTTAAATACGAATTTTGCATCCGTGGTAACACGGATTTTGGGATTATTTGGTAGAGCCTAATATAAAGATGTTGCCATCATAGTTAAATTACTTCTTCCTCTAGCCATTTTACGGTAGCAGGTGGTGTGTCATGAAGTACAGCTTCTTCCAAAATTTCTTCTACAGATAATGGATGTGTATCACCTTCTAAATGGCGTTGCTATGAGAAACTATAGAATACGGTACATGGCAAACCTTCATATACTTTACTATTCGAGATAAAACAGCAAACTTCCCTTGCAATTGAGGCTTCAGTTCGAGAGATCGCAATTCGGAAACAGCAGAAACTAAAGGAGGTCCACGGCGGTGTACGGAAGTCACAGCACCTTTTTCCTCTGAAGCACCAGAATAATTAGACTTTGGTTTTTCGACAACAGGAATGGCCATGGCTCTCTTCAAAAACGCTTCCCTCTCTTTTATGAGGCTTGGATTCATCTTTAGAGTTTATCACAGAGCTAAAACGAAAAAGGAACGAATAGGTCATATCATAGAACAATAATCACAATGCATTTAAAACTCGTTAATTTGTCTGTTTATCGCCTCTAAATTTGGCATCAGATCCCGAACAAAATGAGGGACAACACTTAAATCCAACTAATAAACAAGATTTGTTTAATAGTGCATGATTTGGTGCATTATGCATTAGAGAGCTATGGTGGCAATAGTTTTTATTTATTTATTTAATACACACATTTTGGTACAACTGGGGACTAAAGTGTGTGCCGAAATAATGAGAAAAAATAGGAGGAAAAGTACAGTGAAAATATAATGCTGTAGTTAATAGTGGTGTATAATGAGAGATGTGATCCAGTTAAAAATACAAACAATAAACGCTCTTCTCAGTTAAGAGAGCCCCTCTCGCTTTTATTATGAATCCAAAAGAAAACAAAATTAGGATTGCTGCTGGCTCCAACTATAAGTCATGTATGGTAACATCGCAAGATAACGAATAACACAACCTCTTGGACCCCAACCGAAGTCGTATTGGATTGCCAGATCAGTCATATACAACTTTCTCATTTCACAATATCATGTCATAAACTGACCCCATCTCCAATTTTTCACTCAGTCCCGGTGTCAGCGAAAAATGAACATATGGACGACGCTAGAATGACATTCGTGAAGCACATCCAAGCCACCGAAGCCAGTGTTTTTAAATTGTGACATTAAATTAGTTAACGTCACCCAAACAGTAATTCCCTAACCTAGGAACTATTGAAATGATATTTCCACCGATTGTCAGTAATCCTGTGGATTAAATATCCTCCACTAACTGTTCTTCTCCAAAAAGTGCGTTCGACATTGTAATACCAGCCGGAGGCTTGAATGCACAGGTCGGGCGTTTAGGCACAACAGAGAGTCGTGTAGGTGACTCCTTTTGGAGTATCTATCTGGACTCTGATTATGCCCTTGTTTGCGCCAATTTGACCTAACTTTTCAGTGGTCAACGAATTCATCGTCTTAAACGAAAAGTTGTCAGTAAATTGGTTGAAACTTCTGTTGTAACTTCCTTAACTGAAAGAATTCTTCTGGTTGTATCTTTCCGTTTTCCCCATTATTATTTTTATTATTACACTAACATACACAAATCTGTGGTTTTTATTGTTCTTCTTTTTTTCCTTATACTCACATTACATTCTTTTTCTCTTCCTATTCGCATTGTTTTGTGTGGCGCATATATATCTGGTGTTCCCTTGTACCAATATTTATGACCATGATCCCAGATACAGTTGTCGAACATTGTTTCGGACACCAAATTTCAAGAATATGGCATAGAATCGCTCCCAATGACGCTGTGCAGACCCAAGTTTTTACAAACAGACTGAAATCACGAGGGCGACACAGATGGTCCATATTGATATAAACTGTTCTGGCCTTTCCTAAACGTGGAGTTATTTTACCTATTAAACTAAATTAACTTATTTACCAGGTACTTGTGTATGAGCCACACTCTTACTGTGAAGGGTAATGATACTACCTGATTACCCAAACCGGAATAGGTGGGGGTCCGAACCGGGGACATCCCACTACTGCCACTCACATGACTACAGAAATACACGAACATCATGACTATAACCAACGGATTATTACGAAAAGTGAGTGCAAGTATGAGTTTCAACTCATCTTGGGAATGTGTTTTGCACTTAAATGAGAAATATATGTTGTAATTGCAGATGCTAATTAAGTGCGGTTTAGATAGGTTATGTATCATCGCACAACAAGACAATGTACTCAAGATCGGAAACTTTTTGCAGATAACAGATCTATATCACCTAATTCAATTAGAGGTTTTCAGAATATCATTGAAGGTCAAGTTGAAGAAATGTGATGATAGCGAGCAACCATTTTTAACACCATTCCTGGACTAAAACAGTGTAAGGTATATATATATATAGCATATTTGGGAGTATATTCTAATGCATTGAAATTTGTATAGGAAAAGTGGTCAGTTTATATAAAGAAACAGTAGGATAAAATAAATTTGAGTTTGGCTGGCATATTTATACACATTACTACACCCCGGCTAGAATCTTGATAATGCGACCCAGTGACTTGTAACATGATTATATCACCTACCAATCAAAATCCATTGAGTAAATCACTTAATGAAGATTGTGAAAAAAATCATTTTCAACTAAATATATAAAGCCAGTGCGTTTTAGTGTCTTACAGCCAAAATCTTCCATTTGTGAACTTAAGTCGAAAGCTTGATTACGGTGAGTTGGTCTTTACAAACAAGTCTGTTCGTTCGAACCAACTCCGACATAGTGTGGAAAGTTTAGCACAAAATATAGACTACTGTGAAACTTTAAGTAGTTTATATGTAATACTGTGTATTATACACTTACATTTTAATGGTAGAATAGTACACAAAAACATAAATGATTTTAGATCTAAAGAAAAAGACAATTTATTTTGCAGGTATGTTGCAGAAATCAAACATTTCTGCAGAAAGGTAATTCTTGATAATGTCAGTAATCTACATGATAAATTTAAGAGGGCAGACAGAATAAATAGTAGAAATATGTATATACAAATACCAATTAAAATGAAAATAAGCGTGTCAGAGTATCGTTGGATGAGAGTCAGTCAGTCAATCACAATGTAGAACTTCGTACGTACGTACATCTGTTCGAGTTGCCATACCACATTAGCACAGAGATGCAGTTGTCGATTCAAATCCCATAGTGGTAGAAGTAGTAAGAGTATAAGCAGTAATCGGAAAGATTAGGGTTTGTAGATGTTATTCAAGGAGTATAATCCAGTGAAATAAATTTGGAAAGAGAAAAAAGATAGAGACATGAAGAAATCAGAAGACCAGAGTTTGGGAGAACACAAAGAGTGGATTCACCCTCGCCATTGCTAACGATTTTGAGTCATGTCATTCAAAGTCTCAAACCATTGATTGCTAGCATCTCGCGAATCCCAACCAGGTAATCTACACCTACCAACATGGCTCAGTCCAATTGTCAGTGACTTGATCGATTTTTGGCACGTTTTGGTCTGGTCGCCTCTAGCTTTCTTCCAACCTACGCCTACACCATAAAACATTGCACGTCGGGGAATTCGGTGGTTGGGCATACGCAACACGTGTCCCAGCCGTCTCAACTGATGAAGTTTCACTACTTCATCAATCGATTTGCCATCATTACTTAGTACCCGTATCCTAACGACTGCATTACTTACCCGGTGGTTCCAGGATATACGAGCAATGCTTCGAAGACACTTATGATCGAATACTAGTAGCCTATGAATATCCTCTACTCTTATCGGCCATGTTTCACTACCATAAAGTAGGACTGAACGAACTGCTGCACAGTAAACCTGTCCTTTGGTTGCTAGACGGATATCTCGCCTACGCCATAAATGACGCAAGTTGGCGAAAGCTAGACGAGCCTTCTGCATTCGTGCTGAGATTTCGTCATACACCAGATTACAAGGGCTGATGAGACTCCCAAGATAAGTGAAGTGGTCGACACGCTCAACTACTTCACTCCCTATCATTAGTTCAGGTGTCGATGCAACCCAATCCTGAAGTAACATTTTGCACTTCGAGGGAGAGAATCGCATCCCGAACATGCCTGCATAATTGCTTACAGTGGTCAGAAGACTGCATTTTGTCAGTCTTCACCAAATAAAACTATGTCGTCGGCGTATTCTAAGTCAACAAGTGAGCCTCCTGGTAAAAGTTCAACTCCTGAAGATTTAGATGATGAAAGTGTTATCTCTAAAAGCATCTCCATGACAAAGTTAAACAAGAATGGTGAAAGTGGACAGCCCTGACGAACATCACTTGAGGTAATCAATTCTGATGACAGTTCGCCATAGGCTCTAACTCGACCAGTTGTGTTCGAGTAGAGAGCCTTTATGAGGTTAATGTACTTCATTGGTACCCCTTCTAGTGACAAGCACTGCCATAGAACCTCACGATCAACGGAGTCAAATGCCCCCTTAAGGTCAAGAAATACTACTGTTGTGAGACGTCTGAATGTGTGTCTACGTTCTAGGACCTGACGTAGAGTGAATATCTGGTCTATACAACCACGTCCAGGTCGGAAACCAGCCTGGTTTTCTCTAGTCTGCTGGAAGTTTCCTCTTTTCGTCTGTCTACATCATGAAACATTTCTTGAGAAAACTAAAAAAGAAACTGGTTTAATAGTGGTTTTGACGACTTGGAAGTATGAATGGAGCCGAAGAGACACCTGATTGACCCTAACCACACGGGATTTTTGTGAGCGACCGCTCATGCACTTGTTCCGTAATGTTTAGGCCTTACTGCTTAAAACTAAACACTCGTGGGGCAGGGTGAGTTTTTAGGGTCAGCTTTCATTTAAATTCCCCCTTAGTTGTGGGAAGACAGAAACATCGGACATGCTAGTTATCCATGTGAAACACCTGACCATCATTATAGGTCAGTAAAACAGACAGTACAACTTTTCGCGCAGACTTCAGATTTGCTACTTTTGTTTTTACCCCTATCTAACCAATCTGACGGGTAAATTAAAACCCCAAGGAATAACTGTTTCAACCAATATAACTTGATTAGGCTGTCAATCTAGGCAGACCTGAATACCGAAGTCAGTCAGTCAGTCAATCAGCTACAACGTAGGACCAGGCACATTTATGCATCGGTCCAAGTTGCCATACCTCGTTAGCACAACAAGATGAACACCGGATTCATAGAAGTAGTCAATTTAGTGGTGGTAGTAGTATATAAATTATAGGTTGTATATAATGATATAGTACAGGAAGGAGGAGAGATATGAAGCAATTTTAGTCTCAAGGTTTAAAGGAAGATAAAGAGTGTATACACCTACGCCATTGTGATCGATTCTCAGCCATGTCACCTAGAGTCTCCAACCATTGGTTATGATAGTCACGCGGACCCCAACCAGGTAGTCTACATCTGCCAACATGGCTCAGACTAGAAGTTAGTGACTTCAAACACTGATGC